TTTGGGTAAAGTTTTTAATAAAAATTTTTTTGCTCACATCAAAATTTTTTTATCCAATTTTAGCGGACAAATTTGTCCGCTAAAATGGACGGTTTAAGGGATATGTAAGGGTGGGATTGGTAGTGAGAATGGATTGATTAGAGAATGAATCGTCTTGGATTTGTTGTAGGCGGATTTTTGTTGAAAGGAGGTTATTAGATGAATTCAAGTTTTTTTCCAGGATTGATAAATGTTGCAGTTGTTGTAGCTGGTTTACGTCGATGAGGCCATAGGTGGATGGAAGGTGTAGGATCGAATTAGGTACACTCCTAGCTAGATTTGCTTTCAGTTTAATTATCTTAGTGCTTAAACGATTTAGTGCTTCGCAGTCTGATTTTGGCAGATGAATGTTGTACATCCTATAACGAAGTCTAGCCATTAGGACGGCGTTGATCACGTAAGTTGCCTGCTTCTCGGTTATTTTTGCGTATCGTAACTTGTTGATTTCTGCAATAAATTCCTCCTTCGCTTTTTTTATCGCGTATTTCTTATGGGTTGTATGGTCAATATACACCCCTAAGAACCGAAAGGTTTTGTTTTTTGGTAGATTATATATAGGTTGGTTGTTGAAGCTCAATGGGTCAAGATCGTTAGTATTATTATGGAATAGCACAGATTTAGTTGGGTTAACCATAATCTGTGCAAAGGTGTAGAAGGAGGATACAGTGGACAGTATATTGGTTAATGTCTCTCGGTTTGGTGCAACCCACGTGGTATCGTCCATGTAGGCTATGACTGATGTATTAAGGTTAAGTGGAGGTTGTGATGGGGCCGTCGTCATTTTGTATCCTTGGTGTTCGTTATTTATCCTGCTGATAAGTGGATCATAGAAGATCCTCCAGAGGATAGGTGAAATTGTTTCGCCTTGGTCTATGCCGTCGTTGACTTTATAGGTTGCTGTTTTACCAAGGGTGGTGATAACTTGGTTCTGGCGGTAGGCTAGTATATTGGAGATGAGTGTGATGAAGGTTTCTGGTAGTTTAATTCGCCGCATTGCTAATTGTAGTAATTGTGTGTTGACAGAGTCGTACGCTTTGGACATATCCTGGGATAATATCCAAAGCTCCTTGCTGAGTAACTGGGCATCCTCGGTGATGTGAGTAATAAATTGAATGGGATTAAAAGTTGAAGTGAAAGGGAGGGCAACGTTGTTGGCTGGGTCTAGTACTTGCGTTAAAAGCAGGCTGTTGTGTAAGCGGTTAGTAAGGATTTTTGTTAAGATTTTACGTGGGTGTTCTAGTAGCGTGATAGGGCGGGTTCTACTCAAGTCTCCATGTAAGTATCCACCCTTTGGTATAGGCCATACTATTCTCTTGTGCCATTGTGACGGGATTAATCCAAGGGTAAGGCACGCATTGATAATTTTTGTTAGCTGATTGATCGCTTCAGTTGGTAATCTATCTAGTATCTCGTTGGAGATGAGAGTGGGTCCCGTGGCTTTATTCCTTGGTGCTAGTTTTATTGTTGACATGACGGTATCGACTGATACCGGTGACATGAGTTCTGCGTATAGGTTGTCAGGCAGGTTTTTTCTGGGCTCATAGTGCCTTTCCCATTCCTGCCATAGGATTGTGTTAGGTGGGTTATGTTTGGTCCAGGTTTCGAAGTGCCTCCGCGTCTCTGTGAGGATTTGTTCCGGTTGGGTGACTATTTGTGTGGGCGTTACGATGTTATGGTAGGTAATAGGTGTTTTGTGTCTACGTATTATACTGTCGATCATTAAAGTAGTGTTGTCTGCGAAATTTGTGTATCTTCTATTGATACAGGCTGAAATTCGTTGTGTTTGTGCTTTATTCTTTTCCTCTTGTCTTTTTTTGTATGCTAGTGCTCGGGTCGTCTTGAGCTTGAGATATGTTGCAGACCAATTGGCGGTTTCGAAATCTGTCGGATTGCACTGAGTTTGTTCCTCTTCGAGTAGCTCTGTCACTTGGTTCAGGTCTGTATTAACTAATTGGGCTATTCTGTCATATGATAGGGGAGTGGGTTGCTTAAGTCTATTGATTACATTGTTTATTTTCCTTAATCCTTTGTGTTTTTCGGTCGCATCAAAAGAGTGGGGGTGATTATACATGTTGCATTTTTTGGAGTTGGTTATGTATTTTATTGCTGCTTTAGTGTCTCCTTATCTCGGATCGGTGCGGTGTTGTATGACGAATTAGTAAGGTGGTATATAATATATTTTGAGAAGTCATTCCACTGGTCATCATCCATCGCTTTGTAGTCAAAAAATCTTCGGTATTGCTTCTTTATTCTATATGGTAAGGGTTTTGGAATTGCCCATGAAGTGAGCAGGGATTTGTGGTCGCTGTGCGTGGTTGTAAATTGATCTTGCAGTATAACATCACTAAATGACAATGCAATTTGGGGGTTGACCCAAAAGTCGTCGATTTGACTAGATAATGGTTCTCTTGCCCAAGTCGGGCTGATGTTGCCCTGGAGTTGCATAAGGCTGGTAAGGCCCATGTTTAGAAGGTCTTGCAGCATAGGGCATTGTTTTTGAAATTGCTTTCGACTAGTATTACTATTAAAGTCTCCCGCTAGTATCACATTATAATTGAGTTGAAGACTTTGTGTTATCCATGCTAAGACTTGGATTTGTGCCGCTTTAGACTGCGTGGTGCTTTGTGATGGTAGGTATATTGCTATTAGTCGGGTCTTATTATTCGGTAAAAATAGGTCAATCATTAAGGCAAAGCCAGGGTTGTCTTGTATGGTGTGAATGTAAGGTTCTAGAGATGGAGTAAGTCCGATTGCGACGCCCTTGGACGCTTCTCTAACTGTTGCGTTGTCTGTGTTGCAGTTAGAGGTATATAACTTATAAAGTGGATTCGTTAATCGGAATCGGGAAGCTGATGCTGCTAGTTTGGTTTCGGTCATCATTATTATATCTATGTCTTTATTATGGCAGTCTTCCAGCCATAACTGTAATTTGGTAGATTGGTTGAGCCCTTGTACGTTGTGGTTGACTATTTTCAGTCCTGTTATTAGGGGTTATGGGTAATGCTAGGATTAGTATTATTATTGTGTAATTGTGAGAGTGTAGTACTGTTTGAAGTGGGTGTGTTATTATCAGATGGGTTGTTGTGTGATTGTTGATCGTATAGGTTGATAAATTCACCCATCAGGGACGTAGTTATCGAATAGTTCCCAATTAGGTACTGGGAGACAACGACGTGAGGTGGAATTCCTCTGAAAGTGAAGTGGATATGCAGGAAGGCAATCGTATCCTCGATTTGTTGTTGCGTGGTAGCTGGTAATTGGATATGTTTAGAAGATGAGATATGATCAGTAATTGCTTTGATTTCTTCTAGAGTAGGTGGTAGAGGAGGTCGATCCGTTTCGGTTGCGGATTTGTTTGGAATTTGTATCCAGTCCGCTGGAATTTGTTTAAAGAAATAATATTCTCTCAATAGACGAGCAGTCTCGACAAGGACCCTCGGGCTCGTTATGGGTGTGGTAAGGTTGACTTGTTTGACCTCCTCCGGGTTCTGGGAAAGTTCCGGTTTATCTGTTGGGTTTACCGTCATGTATGATTCTGGGAGGGGTAAGTTGAACCGGTATTTGTTCTGTATTGCCGCTAAGAATTCTTTCGCTACCGGTATATCATTTATGGGAAATGAGAACTTCTTCCCTGTGACAACTTGTGCTGGTTTTACAGGGAGGGGCAGTTTCTGTACAAAGAAGTCCGAAGGAACTCGTTTGAAGCTATAGTGTTGGCGTAAGATCTCAATGAAGCGTCGAAAGTCTGTGGAGTCAATAGGGTTGCAGGGGAATAAGTGACGTGTAGCTGAATTCAGATTTTGAGGGGTGCTAGGCAGGTGTGGTTTCACGGGTGGTAGATTGAAATAAGCGGGTGGAATTTCTTTGCCAACAATGTAGTATTTGGTCAATTTTTGACGGAGTAGCGATAGAAATGAGAGTTTAGCTCTTTCAGTGACTGGGAAGTATTCTCTGGTTTCGAGATTGAGCTCTGACGGGTTGTCGGGGAGGGGGAGTAGCTGGGTTTCAAAGTAGCTATCATGTAGCTTATCAAAAGTGTAAACCTTTCTTAGTGCTAGGACTACTGCACGAGCATCACTTCGATCTTTAATAGGTAGAGCAAATGGCAGAATCGCCCTGATGTTGTCTGTAATGCCTCTTGGAGATGATGGTAGTGGTTTCAAAAGGCGTATGTGGGCAGTATTAAGAGTAGCTCTAATCTTTTCAAATTCAAATTTTGTTGGTATCTTGGCGAAATTGAGCAGGTAAGTGATGAATCTTGTAACATCATGCGGGCTTTTAACCATGAAGTCTATGTTGCAGAGGAAGTCCAAGGCTAACTTGGCTTTGAGTCTCTGAAAGAGTTGGTCACGGTTGATTTTGTTGATATATTGGATGTCATGACTGCACTTATATCTCTCGGTTACTATGTGAAGGATGGTTTCGAATTCCTTTTGGTGTTGTGGTTTGGAAGTATTATGGGTAAAGGACTTAAAGAATGCTGTGTCCATATGTATAAACTTTTCTCGAATTCTAGGGGGTATGTTATAGGATGTGGGAATGGTGGTGATTTTGTGGATGAAGAAGGTTTCAAGTTGGGTGATATCATTAAAAGCGGCAATGATATCGTTGTTATTCCACTTCTCGTGGTCGAATGTATCTGTACGTGATAGGGCCAGATCGGTAAGAATTGCGGTGCACCATGCTAGGTCTCGGTGACCCGCAAACTTGTATTTCGGTTTTGATTGATTATTGCCGGTAAGGGCCCGGGCATAGGACTTGGTAGGTATTGATTGGACAGTATCAATAGATTGCGTATCCATTGGTTGGTTGTTCTGGGTCTTATCGGTGTGGTCTGGTATCCGAGCGACGTTTTTCGAAGTAAGTGGGTTAGCTTCATTCATTATTACGTCATTCATTTGTGCTAGCACCTTTGTATCCGGGTCGTTCTGGGTGTGTAGATCTTTAGTCGCGGGAACTTGTTGGGTTGGGTCGGGGCCATTATTTGTTTTGACGATCACTGTGGAAAGATCTGCACTCTTTCCCACGGTGGTTAGGACGGGGTCCTCTGCCCCGGTCTGGTTGTTGTTGTCAGGGGTTGCGGTGTTTTCCCCACTTTGTTGTAATTGTGAGGATGAGGTGGTGTTGGCGAAGAGTACAGATGTATATTCCATCTGAGTGTCATCCTCAAGCGGGGTGTCTTGTTTGCATTTTTTTGCTGGGGGTGAGTCATCTAACATCTGGTAGGGAGTCCCAGTTGGTTGATTGAGTTGGTTGGTTTGTGAGTCTATAATAGTTAATGCTGAGTGGCCGTTATAGGTAAAGAATGGTTCAAAGGTCAGTGGGGTGGCGAAGTGGCAGTCCCTTGGTCTCTTAATTGTGTTTCGCTCTGGGTTTCTAGCTGTTACTTGTTTATATGTTGTCCTGAAGGACCCAACTTTTATTATTTACTTGTGTTGTTGTACTAACAGTTTTGATTGTTGTTTGTTTTACTATTTTACTTATGATTTTCAGGGGTAAACCCAAATATCGCATATTTATTTTACTCAATACACAATAACAATTATATTTTTAATAAATAAGTTTACAATTAAATTATTTATATAAGCTCATACTAACGCGAACGCTAAATAATAAAAAAGTTCTAAGGAAATTCTTGTTCTCTTTGATGCCATTAAGCTACCAGCATCACTGGATAAACGTTCACTTGGAGTGGACGTTGCTGGAACAGCTAGATACATTCTTGCTAATTTAGATAGTATTTTAGATAGTATTGGAAATTTCTTCGAATGTAAATCCCACCATACCAAGCTTCCTTTTTTGAGAGTTGTTTCATACACTTATTAATTTCATTAGAGTCAGAAATATTAGAATCAGATATGTTTCATCTTTTGTTAGAAGTAGACATTTTTTAACGAAAGTATTGATAATAAGAAAAAATAAAAATAAAAATAACGATTTATTATTTACAGTATAGTCACGGATTAATAATAATCATTATGAGGTTAGTTTCAATGTGAGGTCAATTAGTATTTAAAGTCCGCCAATGATTAGTAATCATAAAAATACTAATTGACCTCACGTTGGAACATTGGTCCCTCATAATTATTTTTGGAAGCATAGTTAAAAATCTATTTGATTGGCTGATCGGTAAATCATTTTTATAATACTCCAATAGGAAAAACCGATTTTTGCTCATATGAGAACTGTGTTACATTACATACTAACCATCAATGAAACTTCGCAGTCGCCCTGGTATTTCGCTTCTTTACCTACCATAAAGTTTCATCAGATATAATCATATTCCCTGGGAACTTTTACTATGACGGCATTTTTATATAAAATGGTAATTTTGAATGTTTAATGAAATTCTACTTCGCTTAAAAAATTTTTATACTTCCCTTAACCTTTCGTTTTTGAACTTGATCAGACCCTAATATTACAATCAAGCTGCGTTTATGTTTAATACAAGTATGATACTTATACCTTAAATATTATTTTACAGTACTCTTTTGTCATATTTTTATCACTTAAACACTTTATTATGGCAGGCTTCTTACAAATAGCAACTCCGGGTCAAAGATTAGTTAACCAATTCAATCTACCATTCATTCATTTCATCAATTCTATTTTGCAAATCTAATTCCATATCCTCTTCCATGTTTAGTCGATTACTACTCCTGTCTTCTGAATTATCCGTATCATCTTGATCATCATTGTCATCATCTTGGTCGTCATCTTCATTTAAATCTTCCTCATGTTTCTCCGAATTTAAAGTTTTTAAAAATGCATTGACATTATACCATATACCATCCCTGTAAAAATTTAAGCAATATTTACACTTTTCATTCATTTGTTTGTAGCATTCTATGTGGTATCTGTGTCCACATATTAAGACAACTTCACTATTATTAATAATTATTGATTTACGGCAAGAATCACAATTATTAAACGAAGGAGGAAATGGTGTACTGAATCCAGCTAGCATACTTGTAACACCTATATTTCCTAAGGTGGGAAGGTCATAAGTACATCAGCGAAATATATTAACGTAATTTTACGTAAGTTATTACGGCCCGAAATATTGCGCAATAATTACGGTC